CCCCCCCCAGTGGGGCCCGCCCCACTATTTGAGAAGTACTGCTTTAAACCATTTTAACATCCACATTATCAATGCTGTGATGTAGCTGACAAGTGAACTTTTTTTTTTTTTCTATTTACTTGAAATTTGAAATGATGCTAAATCTGGTGGTCTTGTGACAAAAACCACATTGTAATAAAATAAGTAAAACCTAAAGTTTTCAGCTCACGTGTGGCTTTGGTGACATGCATGGGACAGAAAAGGAAAACGACAACGGCAGCTGGCAAAACACTTATGTTTTTTTGTGTGTGATGTTTTTCACTACCTTAAAGGTTACTGATGACTGGGTATCAAATAATGTGTACATATATACAGTATGTATATATATATATACATATATGTGTATGTGTGTATATATGTGTATATATGTATATACATATATGTACATATATGTATATACGTATGTATGTATGTATTTATATATGTATATATTTTATATATGTATACATATAAGAATAAATGGTACAGTGCGACACTGCGAAAATATGAGTAAAAGAAAAAGAAAAACTTTTTTTTATAGATTTTCATTTACATTTTTTTTTAACCCTTGATACAGCCAGGATGTGTCAAAAGAAATTGTAAAAGTTGTTGTTGGTTGGGTTCAGTACTTTCTCTTATTTTAAATTCAGCAATGTGTCTATATGTGTATATACTGTATACAATATTTAGATATGTATGTATATATATATATATATATACACTGTATTAACATACAGTGTATATATATATACACTGTATTAACATACAGTATATATATATATACACTGTATTAACATACAGTATATATATATACACTGTATGTTAATACAGTGTATATATATATATATATACTGTATGTTAATACTGTGTATATATATAAATACTGTATGTTAATACAGTGTATATATATATACACTGTATTAACATACAGTGTATATATATACACTGTATGTTAATACAGTGTTTATATATGTATGTATATATGTGTGTGTGTGCGTATGTATGTATATATATGCATGTATGTGTAAATATGTCTATCTATGTATGTATGTGTATGTATGTATATATAGATATATACACATATATATAAATATATAGATACATACATACATACACACCTGTATTTGTACCAAATGGGGTGAATAGACGTACTAATATATGTATACATATGTGTAAGTATATATATATATTTGCATATATGTATACATATAACTCATTTTAAATGTAAGCTATGATATGACCTTATGTTAAAAAAATCCCTTGAGCTTTGCTGTGAACTGAATACGTGTTTGAACAGTTAAACGAAAACTTGGATTAGACACTTTCATCGGCCGAGTTAACTCAAAGCCAATTGAACAAACGTTACACACCACTGGATATATTATCATTTTTTTTTATTATCATTTGGATTCACTTTGTCAAGCAACTTGACAAGAATAAAAAGGCAAGTAATTGAACAATACAAGACATTGTGTGCCAATGAAAGGTGTCAGGCAAAGAAATACTGAATGAAACACATGTAGTTCCATACACACACTGGTTACTTAAAGGGCCATAAAAAAATTCATAGACATTTTGTTCCCTCGATCGAGGTTACTGTACCTTCTTATTTCTCTCTTACCAAAGTACAAATATAGCAGGTTCTCTCTGTCTTGATCATATTTCCTAGTGTCAGCAGCTTTAGAGCCAGTGAGGCTCAAGGGATGCTCCGTCTGACTAAGTCAAAAACTGCTAAAGGGACTTTTTTTTATATAATAATTGGATTTTTTCTGAACTTTAAAGATGCAATAGGCAGGAAATTTATGCTGTAATAATAATACACAGTGACCTTTCACCTGGGAAAGTATTTTCATGGTTGTAGTGTTTAGACTGCTTATGTGGAGTCTGTGACCAGAGAGATAGAGGAAAAGGTCAACGTTTTGTTGGCTGTTCCAGTAGAAGTGCTCCACATACGCAGTGTCAGACTGGCAGCAGTTACCACTAAACACGCTGCAAATACTGAGAGTAAAAGGAAGGAAAAGAAAAACTTTTTTAATAGCTTTTAATTTATGAATTTAACCCTTGATACAGCCAGGAAGTGTCAAAAGAAATGGATGTAAAAGTTTATGTTGTTGTTGTTGGTTGTGTTCGGTACGTTCTCTCATTGTAACGTGTGAGTGTTCTGTAAAGAAATGTAAGCTGAGTCTCCACTTCACATGGTAACTTCCACAACAACAAAGTTTTGAAACCAGCCGGAGGTCTACACCAGTGGGTCTCAAACTAAGGTGCATGTATTACTTAGTGGTACTTGGACTGTTGTTAACGGCAAACTGTTGCTCTGTGTATTTAATTTGTAAAGCTATTATTGTGGGTGTCAAAAAGACAAATACTGTTGTTGTTGAGACACTCAAGGTGCAGGTGACCACGGGTTGAGAATTGGGGATTCTGAGTCGATATATTTTCTGCTTTTTTACGACATTGAAAACCACTGTGTTTTGTGGCTGTGGCAAAGTTGCACAATGTGGAGAGATACTTCAGTACGAGTCACACAATTTTCCCTTGCTAAAAATAATCCACCTGGCAGTGCATTATGGGCACAAAAAAAAAGCAGCAGTGAGTTAAAAGCAGCTTTGGGCAAAGAGCTGTGATTAAGCTAACTTTCTTTTTGTGACTTTTTTTCTCCAGCTTCATGGAGAAAAAAAAGTCACAAAAAGAAAGTTAGCTTAAATTGGAGAATTAAACCTGAGAATGGACGTTTAACAGTGATCCTGCCTACTGCAGCTTTACTCCATCCCTTTTTTAGGTTAATTTGAATTGCGATAGAGCATCCCTCTCTGCTCCACTGGTTTACCTCAATATTTAATGATGTTAATTTGAATTGCGTTAGAGCATCCCTCTCTGCTCCACTGGTTGTAGCCTAATGTGTTTTTATCTGAAGCTGTGATGGTCTCAGCAGTAGGAGTGAGTAGAGTGGCGTGAGTTTGAGTCAGAGTTTGGTCATGGGTATGTGAAGGCTGTTCCACGGGCCCATCCACAATTCCTCCTCGTCCGACTGCGTCCTGTCACTCGGGCACTCGTGCGTATCCCTCGCGACAGGTCGGGCGTCTTCGTCTTCATTCACGCCGTCGACCTTTGACTCTTGCTCTCCGTCTCCTCTCTGCTACGTTCAGAGGCCGCTGCTCGGCGTCGCCCTGCGCTGCTTTTAGTACGTTACACTTGAAGGCCACGCTCTCAGCTGCTGTGTTAGTGGTGCTGGTGGACCCCAGAGAGACGCTAGACTGCCGAGTGTTCAGCACATTCAGAGTTTTAATGTGGTTGGAAAACGAGGACGTGGCCGTAGCAGACGCAGCCAACGCGGGGCTCTGAAAGGTGTGCAGTGTGTGGCACTTGCGATTCGCTGCTGCTGCTTCTGTTGTTCTGGGGTTGTTCAGTGGAACTCTCTCCTCCACGTGGGCTGCCGTTTTGTCCAGTTTCTTAAAGTGCTTGATCAGCCGAGAGCTGAAGATGGGGGAGGCCGGTTTGAGGTTGTTATTGGTGGCGGCGTGGGTGGCCCCCGTGGCGTTGACTGAGCGCCTCGTGCGGATGATGGAGCCATTCTGGGACATGTAGATGCTGCCGTTGACATTGGTGTTGCTGTTGAGGGCGGTGGACAGGCGACCGCACTGGGTTTCTGGCATGCTGTCCTCACCCGTGGAGCTGGTCTCGTACTCGCGGTCCACCATTAGCTTGATCCTATGTTTTCTACAGCCTTGCTGCAAATACATACACAAAAGTGAGATGTTTAGAACCTGGGTATGAACAGACTTTGACAGAAATCCCAACTCTTAAACGAGAGATTTTTATGTTAACTTATTGTTAGCTTAGGTCAGTGGTTTCTTAATTATGTTCTGTCA